AGGACCTGTAACAGGACCGGTAACAGGACGGGGAACAGTACAAGTAGCAGTCCAGGTAACAGGACAGGTAACAGGACAGGTAACAGGACGTGTAACAGCACAGGTAACAGTCCAGGGAACAGGACAGGTAACAGGACAGGTAGCAGGACAGGTAACAGCAAAGGTAACAGTACAGGTAACAACAAAGGTAACAGAACAGGGAACAGCGCAGGTAACAGCACAGGTAACAGCACAGGTAAGAGGACAGGTAATAGGACGTGTAACAGGACAGGTAGCAGGACAGGCAACAGGACGGGTAACAGCACAGGTAACAGCACAGGTAGCAGGACAGCATGTGGAGTTCCACACATGCCGGTTTTATTACTGCTTACATATGAATTTTTGTTGTTGTTGTTTTTTCCCCAATACATGTTTATTGTTTGTTTTTTATAAATAGGGAAAAGAACAAAACAAAGAAAAGAAAACAACAGAATATTCCAGCTCAGATCAAAAACAGGTGAAAAGCTCAGAGTCAATCAATGTAAGTCTGTGATGTCGTCGTATAAATGAGCTCTCATTACGCCTCTATGCAGGACAGCAGAAATGTCCAGTCCCATGTTTGGTGAAACCCATGTTCTCTGCTGTGTAACTTGCTGGTTAGATAATCCAAGGACACATATTCCAGTACTGTCCGATGCCACTGGGTTTTAGATGGCGCTTTGTCCGTATTCCAGTTCAGAAGGACACATTTCCTTGCACATCCTTGACATCTGTTATTCCAAGCAACATGGTCAGCGGGTTACATTCTGTAGTAACCGAAACAGAGAATATTTTATCCAGTTCACATTTTACAACATACCAAAAGATTTGTATTTTTCTACAGAACCAGTTACAATGAATAAGAGTGCTCACTTCAATTTTACATTTGGGGCATAAAGGAAAAAGGCCTGAACTAAATCTGTGACGCTGAGAGGGGGAAATATGCACTCGATAAAAGATTTTGCGTCGTGAAGCTTTAACCCGATTACAGACACTTAAAGAGTTTGCATTTATCCAGATATTGTCCCAATCCTCATCATTTATTTGCTTCCCCAGTTCCCTTTCCCATAGCCCTCTTAAATGGATAGTGCTGGTACTTGCATATTCTTTCAGTAAGGTGTAAGAGGACTTTATAGAGGTCTTAAATCTGGGCACAAATAACTGTTTTTCTAAGTCAGAGATAGATTGATGTGAAAGTAATGATGTTTTCCTCTGAACATAGTCTCTCACTTGCAAATAGCAGAAAAAATCCTGTCTCTTGATATCATATTTAGAAACCATTTGATTAAAGTACAACATAGAGGGCCCATCCATTAAGTCTGAAAGAACAGAAATCCCTTTAGTTGCCCAAACCTGAAATCCACAATCTGTCGTTCCAGGTGGGAAGACAGGGTTATCACACAGGGGTGTAAATAATGAGGTCAGTTTAGAACCACCTCAAGTTTTTGAACAATTTGCCAGTGAAAACTGAAAGTGGGTTACTGCAAGACAACTTCAGGTTTTTGACTTTTTTCAAAAATTGTAAATTTTTTAAGGGGAATGTAGACATGGAGCCCTCTATGTCAAGCCAAAGAGAGACAGGGTTATGAATCCAGCCGGCTGCAGCACTACCATGTGCACTGAGCTGGTATTTTCTAAAACCTGGGAGCTCAAGACCTCCTTTCGAGGATGGGAGACATCATGTGGAAATTTTCAGACGTGGCTTCCTCCCAGCCCAAATAAACGAACTCATCCAGCCATTTAAAATTTTGATAATCTTGTGTGAAAGAAGAATTGGGATCATTTGAATTGGGCAAATCAGCCCGGGCATAACATTCATCTTCGGGAGCGAGACACGACCCAACCAGGAGAGAGGCAAAGTCTTCCATCGCTCCAAGTCCAATTTTATACGATCAAAGAGGGGAATAAAATTACACTTGTACATCTTATCAAAATTAGGTGTTACTTTTACTCCTAAATACATATGAATCCTTCTGGAGACCAAGTGAACGGGAATGGAGAGGGGACTTTAGGTTTTTCTTTCAAAGTGCCCAAAGGCATCACCTCTGATTTGTTGAAATTGATTTTGTAACCTGAAATGGCACTAAATTTACTAACAGTCTCAATGAGAGAGGGAATGGACAACTCGGGTTGAGTCAGAAAAATAAGGACATCATCAGCATACAAAGTAATCTTATGATGCCTCTCTCAAATAGTTGGACCATGTATGTCCTCCCTGACCCGAATGGCCTCTGCTAACGGTTTGATGGCCAAGGCAAAGAGCAAGGGGGAGAAGGGACAGCCCTGGCGTGTACCCCTCCGAACCTGAAAGCTAGGCGACTGCCAGCCAATTGTTAGAACTGCTGAACAGGGGTTGCTATAGAGAAGCTTAATCCAGCTTGTAAAATTGTCACCCAAACCAAATCTATGCAGAGTTTAGGAAAAAAAAGGACATTCAATGTGGTTGAAGGCCTTTTCAGCATCAAGAGAGACAACAAGACCATGCTTCAACTTTTGTTGAAAGATCTGGATCACATTCAGCAGCCTGCACATGTTACTGTCCGAGTTGCGGCCCTTAATAAAACCAGTTTGGTCTTGGTTAATAAGCAAAGGAAGCAACCCTTCCCGACACCTCGCTAGCACCTTGGAGAGAATTTTTAAATCCACATTTAACAATGAAATTGGCAGATACGAGGCACAGTCTTTGGGCGGTTTCCCATTTTTAAGTGTCAATGAAATATTAGCTCTCAAAGACATGGGCAGGAGGCCTTTCACAAAGGAGTCATTGTACATGTCTTGCAGTGGATCAACTAATACGCTTTGGAACTCTTTATAGAATTCAGAACCGAGTCCGTCGGGTCCTGCTGCTTTTCCGGACTGCAAACCCTTAATGGCATCCAACACTTCCTTCCTAGATATTGGAGAATTCAAAGTAGATTTTTGATCCTCTGATAGACTAGGAAGACTGAGACGAGAGAAAAATTCATCCATTAAATCCGGACTATTATTATACATCTGCAATCATATAGATTCTCATAAAAGCTTCTAAATATGTTATTAATTGTTGCTGTGTCAAAAAATTGTCTACCGTTTGAATCTTTAATTGAAGAGATGTCTTGTGAATCAGACTTCTTTTTTGTTAGAAATCCCAAATATTTTCCCGGCTGATCGCCATGTTCATATAACGGTTGTTTAGCAAATCTAGTGTTACGCTGTGCTGTGTTAAACAATCTAATGCCGAACGGGTAGCAGATATTTCCTTAAGTTTACCATTAGAGGACTTAATGAGGTAGTTTTGTTCAGCTTCTCTCAGTTTGGATTCCAGTATCACTCTCTGTTCAGCTTGTCGTCGTCTTTTACTTCTTGCGTATGAGGTAATTATACCTCTGCAGTAGGCTTTAGATGTCTCCCACAGTAATGATGGGTCATCTGTGGAAGCTGCATTGATTGACAAGAACAGTCTGAATTCCTCTACAAAGTATGACGTAAATGTTTTATCATGTAGTATAGAGCACTGGTCTCACCCTGGGACCCA